TAACACACTACTATATATATATATATATATATATATATATATATATATATATGTAATTGCAATTAGAATTTTATGTTAATTTTTGCATATCAATGAAATTAAAGGGGAAGTTCTATAAAACAGTCATGAAACCAACTTTGCTGTATAGGGTGAAATGTTGGTCAACCAAGAAACAACATACCATAAAATGAGTGTGAAAGAGATGAAGATATTGAGATGGATGAATGGCAAGGCAAGAATAGATAGAATTTGAAATGAATATATTCGGGAAGAACTTACATGTGGCTCCAATGGACGATAAGATCAAATAAAGTAGACTTAAATGAGTCGGTCATGTGAAACATAGACCTTGTACAACACCTACTAAAAGGTGCAAATTGATTCAAGTGGAGAGCTAAAAAAAAACAATGGAAGGCCCAAAAAGACAGTTAGAAGTAATGAGAGAAACTATGGAGACTTATAGCCTCACTAAGGATATGACCTTGATAGAGCAGAATGGCGAACCAAGATTTGTGTAGCCGATTCTAAATAGTTAGAAAAATGCTCAGATGATGATGATGCTATATATGTATGTGTACGATAAAATGAGGAAAAGTAAACTTAAGTACTTTGGCCAATGTAGTATCGACTTAGAACAACTAGGCAATAAAAGGCGACTCGATTCAAGTGGAAGGCTCCAAAAAACAGATAGAAGTAGTGAAAAGAGATTCGATGCCTTATGAAATTGAATGAGCATAATGACATTTGATAGAACAGAATGGCAAAACAAAATTCAAGTAATCAGCCCCAAATAATTGGGATAAGGGTGATTATGATGATAATATATGTGTATGTGTATTAGCTTACATAATATAGAAATACATACAAAACATTGATACACATCTACTCTCATAATGCATAATGTTGTAACTTACTCAATATGATAGTCATGTCATTGCTAACAAGCATCCTAGCAATATCCTCCAGTATCAATATAAGTGTTAACATGGTATGACATCAAGCACATCGGGCATCTGTCCATTACAGCCGTACATATCTTACTATTCCATCTTCGGCAATAGAAGCACATGTTCCTTTACGTAGCTTGGACCCTGGCATGTTCCCAAAGGTTGTGCTCTTGAATTCCTACTTTTCAAATTGCCTTGAAATGAATCCCTAATAGTGGTGGCTAGAAAACCCGTGAAGCAAGGCTCAGCCTCGCCCGAGTCACTCAAACCTATCAGGCTACTAGGTCTAG